GCTGCGTGCCTGCTGCTCCTTGGCAAATACCAGCTTGGGTTCTGGGGACAGTTAGGGACACACAGTGAGAGATACAATACGGCACCAATTTCACAGACACTGATTCTCCAGGGTTCTATAAACCGTGTCCTTGAAGACATCAGGTGTCCAGTGGAATTTAGGCATGTCTTCACAAACTGTGTCTTTTGTCTCAGTGACTCAGGCGAACATTTGAAAGTTATTCTCACTCAAGAGCAATTTCAAGGCCAGAGGAAAGAGGCTGGGCTACTCCTGCACCTTTACCTCTGGGTTTACTGTCTCTGCCAAGTTCATGGCAGATGCTGTTGCTCCCAGAACTGGCCTACAGTGCGGTCTGCAGTCAGTCTCCATTCCCTGATGGTTTTACCCACACATAAAGTATGCACAAGCACTTGTTCATCTCTGTGAACTTCAACACCTCTCCCCATAGAACACATACCTGTGAACAAAGCATCCCAGCTCCCCGTCCACACAGACTGCCTAGATACAGGCTCACATACACACACACACACACACACACACACACACAGAGAGAGAGAGAGAGAGAGAGAGAGAGAGAGAGAGAGAGAGAGAGAGAGGCAGAGAGAGACAGAGAGACAGAGAGAGACAGAGAGAGACAGAGAGAGAGTGAGAGAGAGAGGCTATCCACGCACAGCCACTACTCTGACTTCTGTCACTATCAGTTACTTCTACCTGGGCTTTGAGTTCACAAAAAACAGTTAGGCAAGTTACATGCTCTGCCCCGATGCTCCTCTGCTCAGTGACTGACCCCAAGATAACCATGATGGTCCCTTAAGGGAGTGTTGCTCAGCAACATGATAGCTGTCTCAGTTTGGGTGACTGCACTCTGTGATACCCACACAATGGGAGAGTCACCACAACGTCTTCATCGCATGCACTACACTGCGTTCTGGTGCTTCCGTTTGACTTGTCTGAAGGACCCATCCACATTGCATATTATTGTTCACGTAATTGAAGCACTGGAGTGCACAACTTTAACTTGAGAGGCAGAGGCAGGCAGATCTCTGTGAGTTCCAGGCCAGCCTGGGGTACATAGTGAGACCCTGTCCTTAAAAGGAGAAGGAGGAAAAGGAAGAAGGGGAAGAGGAAGAGCAGAAATGTGTTCCTTAAAGCTGCTACATAGAGTTGTGTTGCATAAACACCACAACTGAACAACTTTTTCTCTTCCTTCTTACAGCTCACTTGGGTTGTTTGCCTGGAGATATAATCAGTAACGCTTCTCTAAGTGTACTCGGGTGGCTAGGGAGATGGCTCAATGGTTAGGAGCGGAAACTGTCCTTACAGAGGATTAAAGTTTAGTTCCTGGCACCCATTGTGGTAGTTTGATTAAGAATAACCTCCATAAGATTGAATATTTCCACCCCAGTTGGTGGAACTGTTTGAGAAGGACTGGGATGTTTGGCCTTGTTGGAGGAGGCGTGTCACTAACAGGCTTTGAGGTTGCAAAAGACTCCCACCATTCCCAGTGTGCCTCCCTCATGCTGCCTTCTGATTAAGATCAAGATGTGAGCTCTCAGCTGTTCCAACCAACATACTTGCTACTTGCTACCCCACTGCCCCACCACGATGGACCAATCAGATGCTTTTCTTTTACGAGTTGTCTTAGTCATGGTGATTTGTCATAGCAATAGAAAAGTAACTAAGACACCCATGGTGGATGGCTAACAAATGCCTGTAACTCCAGCCCCAGGGGATCCACAACATTCTTCTGGCCTTCTAGCCCCTTCGCACTCATGTGCACATACCAACATATAGGCAGATATACATATATATAAATAAAATTTAAATGTCTTTTTAAAATATCTTTAGATACATCTTTGGTGACGAGAAAGTCAGCACAAAGGACTCTGTGTGGCTTTCAGAGAGATCTCACTGTTAACAAGTTCTCCATATCCATCCACACACCTGTCATCATGCAAGTCCTTAAACTGCGTGTGCTTCATCCATCCCTAATTGTGACGGTTTGTATATGCTCAGCCCAGGAAGTGGCACTATTAGAAGGTGTGGCCCTGTTGGAGTGGGTGTGGCCTTGTTGGAGTAGGTGTGTCGCTGTGGGTATGGCCTTTAAGACCCTCATCCTAGCTGCCTGGAAGCCAGTATTCTGCTAGCAGCCTTCAGATGAAGATGTAGAACTCTCGGCTCCTCCTGCACCATGCCTGCCTGGATGCTATCATGCTCCCACCTTGATGACAAGGGACTGAATCTCTGAACTTGTAAGCCAGCCCCGATGAAACGTTGTCCGTATAAGAGTTGCCTTGGTCATGGTGTCTGTTCACAGCAGTAAGACCCTGACTAAGACACTAATGACATTCTATGTCACATAGCGCCAACTTCCATGATCCTGTCCATTCTGCATCTGTAAGAGGCCTTTGTTTCAAATTAACATGATTTGTCCTTAAATTGGAAAGGTAATTTAACTATGGTAAAATTAAAATGAATATTTTATTAAGACAATTTACATAGGAAACTGTATTTTTCCCATTAGCATAAAATCGTCAAAGGTATATGTGACATGGGAAGATGTAGGTGAAGGCCTCAGTGATTCCAGACTGCTGATGAACTCACTGTTCATTCAATCACCACCACAGCCAACGTGAGCAGAGGCCTCCTGGGGGCCTGGAGCTGGGAGGTATGCAGTGAACAGCAGAGATTCGTGCTTCCCCTTCTCATGGGCAGGGCACAAATATAGGCCATAGCGCATTGGTCCATGAAATAAAGATGTTATCCATGTTGGCATGGTAGAGGAAGTAGGTGACCTAGACTCGGTGGTGCGGGGAGAACTTGGTGCGCTGTCATAGGTATTTAAGAGACTCGCAGCCAGACAAGTAGAACACAGAGGGATACCTACCAGAGATCTGAACTCATGAGCAAGAAAGTGGGTGCCTAGCCTATAGCACAGAGAGTGCTAAGGAAAGTGTCTGTCACCCCTAGCTCCCCAACCCCTGCTTTTCCATGCTGGATAGAGTGTGACAATGAAACCCAAGCCTGGGACTAGGCTCAGGGCTTCTCCAAGAAATAGGAGCTGGGAAGATTCAAAGCAGGCCAAGGATACATAAGACTCTGGCTCAGAAAGTAAATAAACCAACAAACAAAGAAGAAGGATCAATGAGGTGGTGACATCTCCTATAGATAGACTTCTAACGCACATGCTAGCACTTTCCCCTCTGTGGCTGAAAGGTTGTGAAAGGCTGTGGTAGAAGGTTACACAGCCACCCGAGTCTGCTCACGTTGCTAGAACAAAATAACTGAAGCTGGTACTTCACTAAAATAAACATGTTTGTTCAGCTCACAGTTCCAAAGTTGAAGGAAAGCACCCTGACAGCAGCTAGGCTTTGATGAGGACTCATGGAAGATGGCACCACAGTGACAGGAGAGGAAAGGAGATGTGAGAGGTGCCAGGCTCACTCAGGAGAGTCCACTCTCACAGAAGCCACTCCAGTCCCACAAGACCTGGCACAGCGCACTCAGCTACTTATGAGGCTAGAAGCTCCACGGCCCCCACTCCCACTGGGGCCTGCTCTGTAAACGTCTCCTCATCTCAACACAATTGGAATCAAATACCAGCACATGAGCTTATGTGAGAAACCACACATCCAGACCGAGCAGAGACAAGCAGAGACCCTCTGAAGGTTGGGGTAGCTGCAGGATTCCTTGGAGGACTAGGACAAGGACTCGAACAAATGAGAGGTAGGCAAGGCTGATCAAACTGCAGCAGGCCTAGAATGGCTCTGATACTGAGGGCTCCCCACCTGCTCAGCAAATAGGGGGTGTTCCTTGCTTTGTAACTAGGGGCCATCGTCATAATCAAGCCTGAGCAGAAAATGTGCAGAAGTCAATAAAAAAAAAAAAGAACTTCTCTGTCACACCAGGACAGGAATGGACAGGAATGTATATGAGAAAAACCCCCAACTGCAAAAATGGCAGGGCCAAGTGGGTGGTCATGGGGGTTCACCCTCAGAAACAGCCACACCATTCATTAGAGCTATTGGACAAGGGTGCAGCCATAGAGAGACAAAAAGACGCAAAAGTAGAGAGCTTACTAAGAATAGAGTTCAGTTGTAGAGGACGTAATTAGGATGGGAAAGGCCCTGGGTTCAACATCAAAATGGGAAGGGGGGTTTCCTGTGCATGTGTGTGTCTGTCTGTTGATCTGTCTGCGTGTCTATGTGTGTGTTTGTGTGTGTGTCTGTGTTTGTATATCTATA